GGGGGGGCAACATTGGCACGCCAGCTGTGATGAAACTACAAATCCCGTCATGCCTCTCAGAGTCATGCCTGTGGCAGTCAGTCTTTCAATGCCTCGTGGGTCTTGTAGTTCCACAAATGGAGGGCCGAGGGTTGTGGAATGACGAAGGATGGGACGGGGCAGAAGGGCATTTAGCCGTATAATGGTGGCAGCTGATATCGGCTCCGAGTGATGAAGGTCGCAGGCTCCTCTACAATATGACCACGTGGGCTGCGATGTGATTGGCTGCTAAGTCCTCTGTCACTGCAACACACCATAAATCTGACATTCCTGAGACCCCATGTCCCCCGCATTGCTCTAGACCAGGGGGAGGCAACCTTGGCTCTCCAGCTGTGCTAAAACTACAAATCCCATCGTGTTTGTGAGTGGTGCCTGTGGCTTGCAATGCATTATGGGATTTGTAGTTTCAGCACAGCTGGAGAGCCGGGGGTTGCCTCCCCCTGTTCTAGACCCTTCTGTGTGAATTCTATCTCCGCCCGAGCGCGCAGACTTGAACATGTGCTCGCGTGGCCTGTGTGTCTTTCGGTGGATCTGATCGGAACCCCAATGTTAGACTTTGGGCCGCCAGATGTAGGCAGACGAGTCCATTTACATCCGCTTACCACGGCTCGGCCGGGTCCGCAAAACCAAATGGAACGCAGTTATGTTTTGGCGGAGCTGATGGATCGGGGGCTGTGACTGGACGCGCGTCTGCTTACATCCAACTCCAGGTAAGTTCCTCCGTCATAAGAGAACTGGATGGACGGTAACATGTTCCGGACTGGTCCAATCAGCATGGGCTCTGTGCACGGATCCCCCGCCGATCAGAACTATCGGGTGTCCATGTCAAAGGGGCCTTTAGTTGCCTGTGTCGGGATGACGGGACTCACGTGTGCAGAGGATGCCGGACGTCTGCACTGAGCCGCGCGGATGGGATCCTGTAGGCTTGCGCTGTGAATTGTCACCTCACTGGGGGCAGCCATCAGAGAATCCTCCCAGACTGCTGGGGGAGGGGACGGTCCGGGATCATTACTCGTTTCCTTACATCGGAGAGCACGGCTCATCTCTTAGATCCAAAATATTAGTAATGGGAGATGAATTATGGCGTGTTCTGGCCTTCCAGAACCACCCCGGGACCCGCTAAATGGCTACATGGCCCCTGCCTGCGGCAGTCATGCTGTGTTCGGTCTCGCTGCAATAGAGATGATGAGCGAGTGTTGAAAATCCAAACTGAGTCATCAGAACTGTGTAAATTGGTTTATAGAAGTTCCATGCATGTTGTACCAGTGTAGCTGTAGAGCCGTGGGGGGCAAGGCAGTCCCTATAATGAGGCAGGAGGAGGATGTTGCCTCAGGCAGCATCTCTATGGGTCACATGGGGGAGCGGTCTGCCGCCCCCTTTACAGCCAGAGTGTGGGGGGATGTTTCTGTCACACACAACTCATAGCCACCCGGGACACCCTGGCTGCTGTAGTATAGAGCTGCAGATACAATGCACGGTGTAATGATACAATGCACGGTGTAATGATACAATGCACGGTGTAATGATACAATTGCAGATACAATGCACAGTGTAATGATACAATGCACAGTGTAATGATACGATGGTGGATACAATATGTTATTGGCGGGATCATTGGGTGAAACAAATAAAACTAATGCAGCCCCCCAAAGTCTGCACAGCTACAATATATTCCATGTGGGGGTTCGATGGCGGTTAGTGAGTTTCTTCCTTAGGAGATGAATGACGAATATGTGACCGGCATTTTCCTCCTCCAGACGGATGCCGGCTGTGCGCACAGACCCTGGTACTGAGGGAAGTGCACGGCTCAGATCCGGCAGGCCTGAGAACGGGGGGGTCACATGGGGACATGGCTCCCCTTCTCTGGGTCTCGTTATTTTGCAGCGTCACTGCTGTACCTCCCGAGCACGGATTTCAGCTTCTCTAGTGCCCGCTGGGTGTCCTGTGCCGAGACGTCGCGGTGCCAGACCAGGCGCACTTGGCGAGGAGACATGGCCAGAGCTCTCACCACCACGCCGCCTCCATTCTCCTGCTCCTCCGCGGTCACCGCACTCAGCTCTTCACACAGCTCCTCTACTGTCACCCGGCCCAGGAGTGAGAGCAACACTATGTTACTATCCACGACGGCGGGGTCCGCCAGACACACCGGGGAGCCCAATTCCTGCACCGCTGAGACAAAAACACACCCGTCACATGCTGGAGGAAGTGACATCAAATATATACATAGAGAGAGAGATCAGCATACATCTACAACGTGCAGAGCTGTGGGAGGGGCCCACCAGGCTCCGCCCACTACATAAACCTACAGTGCACGTTGGGGGGGGGGTGCAGCCTCGGCATTTCAGTTGTTGTGGAATGAGTCCCATGAGACATTGCAAGCGTTTGAAAGCCACAGAAATGACTCCCATGGGCAGATGTATGATGGGATTTGTAGTTTCCCCGCAGCTGGAGTGCCCAGATGGTCTACCCCGGATTTAGGAAGTGATGTGCATTGTAGCGTTCCATAGCGTACACTGAACGCAGGGAAGCCATGTATCTCAGTACTGTGAGAGCGTTGTCACCCGAGCACAGGAAGTGTTGCTGGCAGGATCAGCAGGAGGAAGGAAAGGAAGGCGGCCGCCCCGGGTGAGGAGACGCAACGTACAGATCACCGCGCGGCGCTCGGCGTCGCCCATCTCACCTCTGGCAAATGTTTTGGCATTTTGGTGATCCAGCTTGTAACATTCAGGTGTGTTGCATGCATAGGTGCTGACAAGGAACATGGCGTCTGGAAGAGTGAGCAGAGGTGTGACCTTATTGGTCTCCTGCGGCTTTTCTGTCCAGTCAGCAGGCCGGGGTGCAGAGAGGACATCACTGTGCGCCTTCTACAGTCTAGAACTGTTACAGAGAATGTGCTGTGTGGCAGAGCTGTGTAAATCTCGGGGCTGGATGGGCAGAAATATGAACCCTCTGGCGGGGTAGATCAGCTCTCATGTGTGTATTTCGGGGCCCAGTCACACGGGTTCAGTGCCGGGATCTTTGTGGGTCACACAGCACCAGCGCATTACAGAAAAAAACCGCAGCAAGTCTTTACTGTTATGCACCACAACGCACATGCGTTTAAACATGACCTCCGCCCTGCGGTAACAACGCACACCACTCTGCACTCCCACTGGTGTGGACGGGTCCTCGGGGGTCATCATAGAACATACAACTGAGTGGCAGAGTGAGCAGCCAATAGCGTGCGAGGGGCGGGGCAATCCTCCTCTGGTGTATATGGTCGCATTGTACCTTGGAGAGGCAGAGTGACACGGAGTCGCAGAATCTCACAATCTCGGCCGGCTCCACCCCCAGCGACACCGCCGCGTTCATCAGCCGCGCCCCATCCAGGTGCACCTTCAGCCCGTAGCGGTCAGCCAGGTCCCGCACCTACAGGAAGTGAAGACGGCGACAGGAACACAATGAGCGGTCACACCTGAGCTCAGCGCCATTGCTCAGCATTTCTGCAGCGTTGGAGAGATTATTTCTGCCCGGGACCCCCATTGGTGGGATTGTGCTCTCACTTCCTGTCCCTGTGACACCTGGACAGGAAGTAGAAGGTAACAGAGAGCAATAAATCAGGTTTTCCAGCTTCTGAACACAACGGCCGATTTGTAGAAACTTCTGGAAGGATCTGAGCGCTCGGCTGACGTCTCTCCCGACTGGGGCGCAGACACGGGACGCAGACACAGGACGCAGACACAGACAGGGATGCAGACACGGGGACGCAGACACAGACAGGGACGCAGACACGGGGACGCAGACAGGGACGCAGACAGGGATGCAGACACGGGGACGCAGACAAGGGGACACAGACAGGGACGCAGACACAGGGACGCAGACAAGGGGACACAGACAAGGGGACACAGACAGGGACGCAGACACGGGGATGCAGACACGGGGACGCAGACACGAGGACACAGACAGGGGGACACAGACAGGGACACAGACACGAGATCACAGACAGGGGGACACAGACAGGGACGCAGACACGAGGACGCAGACAGGGATGCAGACACGGGGACGCAGACACGAGATCACAGACAGGGGGACACAGACAGGGACACAGACAGGGGATGCAGACATACAGACAGGGAGACACAGACAGGGAGACACAGACAGGGGGACACAGACAGGGAGACACAGACAGGGGGACACAGACAGGGACGCAGACACGGGGACGCAGACACGGGGACACAGACGGGGACACAGACAGGGGGACACAGACACGAGGACACAGACAGGGAGACACAGACACGGGGACACAGACAGGGACGCAGACACAGGGACGCAGACACGGGGACGCAGACAGGGATGCAGACAGGGGGACACAGACAGGGACACAGACAGGGGGACACAGACAGGGACGCAGACACGGGGACGCAGACACGGGGACGCAGACACGAGGACACAGACACGAGGACACAGACAGGGAGACACAGACAGGGACGCAGACACGGGGACACTGAATGGGGCGTGGGGAGCGCGCGCACCTCTTTCATATAGGACAGCGGGAGGACGCGCCCCCCCATGCGGTTGTGGCTGTTCTCCAGGCAGATGAGTCGCGTCTGTGCGAAGTGGACGTCCGGGTACCCGCGCTGGATTTTACTTTCCAGGTCCTGCAAGTCCAGACGCCCGTCTTCTAATGTCCTCACCGAGCGAGCGAACACCCCGGCCACCTGCCACAAAGGAACGCAGCCAATGAGTCCGATCCATCCAGCAAAGGTCATCAGCGATACATTGTCACAGTGCGCGTCCCCGCAATCCATCCTGACCCCCATAGCCAAACCTCGGCCCTACAAATCCCATCACGCCTCTGGGAGTCAGGCCTGTCAGTCTTGCAATGGCTCATGGGACTTGTAGTTTCTCCTTCACTGGAGGGCCGGAGTTTGGCTAGCCCAGCAACAAGTGGATTTGAAGCCAGAACTGGGGGGAGGGGTGTAACTCTCCGGGCATGCACATGGGCGTTTATTTGTCCCGGCACTAAGCTGTGCTGAGAGTGTACACTGAGCCGCACATGCGCACGGGGGTTCACATATCATGGCAATGAGCCGTGCTGAGAGTGTACACTGAGCCGCACATGCGCACGGGGGTTCACATATCATGGCAATGAGCCGTGCTGAGAGTGTACACTGAGCCGCACATGCGCACGGGGGTTCACATATCATGGCAATGAGCCGTGCTGAGAGTGTACACTGAGCCGCACATGCGCACGGGGGTTCACATATCATGGCAATGAGCCGTGCTGAGAGTGTACACTGAGCCGCACATGCGCACGGGGGTTCACATATCATGGCAATGAGCCGTGCTGAGAGTGTACACTGAGCCGCACATGCGCACGGGGGTTCACATATCATGGCAATGAGCCGTGCTGAGAGTGTACACTGAGCCGCACATGCGCACGGGGGTTCACATATCATGGCAATGAGCCGTGCTGAGAGTGTACACTGAGCCGCACATGCGCACGGGGGTTCACATATCATGGCAATGAGCCGTGCTGAGAGTGTACACTGAGCCGCACATGCGCACGGGGGTTCACATATCATGGCAATGAGCCGTGCTGAGAGTGTACACTGAGCCGCACATGCGCACGGGGGTTCACATATCATGGCAATGAGCCGTGCTGAGAGTGTACACTGAGCCGCACATGCGCACGGGGGTTCACATATCATGGCAATGAGCCGTGCTGAGAGTGTACACTGAGCCGCACATGCGCACGGGGGTTCACATATCATGGCAATGAGCCGTGCTGAGAGTGTACACTGAGCCGCACATGCGCACGGGGGTTCACATATCATGGCAATGAGCCGTGCTGAGAGTGTACACTGAGCCGCACATGCGCACGGGGGTTCACATATCATGGCAATGAGCCGTGCTGAGAGTGTACACTGAGCCGCACATGCGCACGGGGGTTCACATATCATGGCAATGAGCCGTGCTGAGAGTGTACACTGAGCCGCACATGCGCACGGGGGTTCACATATCATGGCAATGAGCCGTGCTGAGAGTGTACACTGAGCTACGCATGTGCATGGGAGTTCATTGATCCCGACACCGAGGTGTGCTGAGGATATACGCTGAGGCTGCACATGCGCGGGTCCACGTACATTTCGTAGGAAGGAGTGACACAATGTATCTCATCTGCAACAAAATTCCTTCCTGTTCCCCAGTCTTTGAATTATTCCCAGGAAAAACAAGCGTTTCTGTGGCCGCTCACAAAGCGTTAGTTGGAGTTCAGCTTTCGTGCGTCAGTAAGATCCATTTAACCTCCGGGGTCCGAGGGTGACTACGCTGCCCCTCCGTAGATACAGTGGAGTGGTCAGTGTAGTCACCAGGACACAGGAAGTGAGTTACCGGCAGGATCAGGTCTGAGAGGCTACAATGCGTTTGTTCTGCTGACTCCTCGGTCGGCGCCATGACAGCGATTGGCCACACGATGGCAGCACACTCCCGGGAGAAGCATGGCGACCCCTTACCTGCGCGGTGCTCCCCTGCTCATAGACATTCATGTGCGATTCTTCTCCCAGCAGGACCTCGGCCCCTCTCCCCCGACACTGACTCATCACTGAAAGACAGACACACAGTTTCCACCTCTACATGTCACAAGCCGGATGTTTTATTGGGATCCAGCTCACGCGTGTGCGGTCCCGGTCATGGAAACCGCAGCGCACAGGAAAACAAAGTCCTTCCCACAGCGGGGATTGCTCACCAGGGCGGCCCGCTGCAGTTTTCCAGCAACGCTGCACTTTTTTGGGGGGGAGAGAAATGTCCATTTAAATATTTTCCTCAATATTCCCATACATGTTGTCTGCACCAAATGTCTTTACAAACCCAGATATTACCTTATAAACGTAGCAGAGGCAACATTGCCTGTGCAGAGAGCAGAGCTGTGGGAGGGGCCCAATAGGCTCCACCCACTACTAGCTGCCTGCAGAAAGCTACAGGAGGGGGCGGAGACAAGACCAGTCACCCTGCACAAGGAGAGAGAGCAGCAGTGGGCGGTCTTTATTACAGGAAGGGGGCGGAGACAAGACCAGTCACCCTGCACAAGGAGAGAGAGCAGAAGTGGGCGGTCTTTATTACAGGAGGGGGCGGAGACAAGACCAGTCATCCTGCACAAGGAGAGAGAGGAGCAGTGACCAGTCTTTATTACAGGAGGGGGCGGAGACAAGACCAGTCACCCTGCACAAGGAGAGAGAGCAGCAGTGGGCGGTCTTTATTACAGGAAGGGGGCGGAGACAAGACCAGTCACCCTGCACAAGGAGGGAGAGCAGCAGTGAGCGGTCTTTATTGCAGGAGGGGGCGGAGACAAGTTATCACGGAGTTCGGCTGTGTTGGCGGGGGACACCCACAGGACTCTCTACACCTTCCAGCTGCTGCATTCTGGCAGTTATCAGGCAGGAAGCACCCGGTCTTGGAGTGCAGCGGGCTCGCCTTGGAGGACATTGCTCTGAATCTGGAGATTGGGATACTTACCGGAAATCAAGTTGCCCATTGTGCCGGTGGACAGGAAAAGGGCGTCCTGCGTTCCAAACAGTTGTGCGGCGCGGCGCTGGATCTCTGGAGGAGGAAGAATAGAGATTTGATTGGTCAGGTGACGGACGGGATCGGCCTTTCCAGACCCAGATATGACCTCATACGGGTGTCAGTGACATCATCGCCTTGCTGAGCTGTGGGAGGGGCCCCAGACCAGGCGGTAACGTGTCACGTGTGCGCTCACCGTTCACCGTGGGATCTTCGCCGTAGACGTCGTCCCCAACCTCCGCCTCGGCCATGGCTCTCCTCATCTCGGCGCAGGGCTTGGTCACGGTGTCACTGCGCAGGTCCACCACCGTGGCCTTGCCACCCCCCTGACCCGTTCTAGTGGTGTACATGGTGCGGATGGATGTGGCCGGGTCGGGATGGGCGGCGGCAGACGTTGGCGCTGGTTTTGCCAACCACAGAAACCGGAACCCCGAGATCCTTCCAAACTACAAGAGAATAAAAAGAATTCTGCATCTTGTGTTTCCTGTAGGGGGCGGAGCTATCTGTCATGTGACCCGTCCTGGAGGATGAGGTGGAGCTGGGAATTCATTGTGAATCTTGTGTTTCCTGTAGGGGGCGGAGCTGTCACGTGACCCGTCCTGGAGGATGAGGTGGAACTGGGAATTCATTGTGAATCTTGTGTTTCCTGTAGGGGGCGGAGCTATCTGTCATGTGACCCGCCCTGGAGGATGAGGTGAAACTGGGAGCTCATTCTAAATCTTGTGTTTCCTGTAGGGGGCGGAGCTATCTGTTATGTGACCCGTCCTGGAGGATGAGGTGGAACTGGGAATTCATTCTGAATCTTGTGTTTCCTGTAGGGGGCGGAGCTATCTGTCATGTGACCCCGGAGGATGAGGTGGTTCGGACTCCACAATGTTTTCATGATGACGGGAAAGACGGATACATTGTAACAATCGTCAGAACTCTTTAATTAAAGCAAAACCCGATTATCAATCACCATCGTCCCCTTCAATCCGGAGATGCCCCTCCCCCGCAGTACCTCCATCTGCCACTAGAGTCTGATGGCCAGCATCATTCACACCCACTTCCTCTGAGCCCGGGTCATCCTATACTACATACTTCCTATACTACATACATCCTATACTACATACTTGTTGGTAGATCTAAAGAAGCCACACCATCTG